TGGGGGGGGACCGGCCAAGACCCCCGCTCTCCCCTTGTCCCTTGCATCCCCCAGTGTTTTGGGGGTGGGGGGGCAGAAAGAGGGGGGGTCTCTGTGTGTGTGTGTGTGGTGTCCGTCCCCCCCCCCCATCTGCAGCTCCTTTGGGTCCCCTCCAATGGGGCAAGAACTGGAAGGACCCAGAGGAAAGGGGGGGCCCGAAACCCAACCCTGGGCGTCGTAAAGAGCCCTGCACATGGCCCTGGTTCCCCCCCCCCGCCCCGATACCGCGGTGATGGCCGCAGCCGCTACCGGTGCCTCCGCCGCGCCCTTCCCGTGCCCGCATCTCCCCCCCCCGGTCCCTCGGAACCTGCTCGGCCGCCTCCGGGTCCAGGTGCGGCTCCAGCAGCGGCACCGTGAACTGGATCTTCCGGGGGCTGTTGGGCTCCATGGCGGGCGGGCGGGCGGCGGCTCCGGTGGCTCCGGTGGCTCCGGTGGGTCCCGGCCCCGGCCCCGCCCCGGCCCCGGCCCCGCCCCGGGTCCCTCGGTCCCGGTGCACGGACGGGCGGTGGGACCCGGGGCGGGGACGGAGGCGGGGACACAGGGGATGGGCACCGGGACAGGGAGCTGGGGTGGGAGCGGGGCACGGGGGTGGAGACGGGGATGGACACAGGGACACGGGGATTGACACAAGGACACGGGGATGGGCATGGGGACACGGGGATGGGCACAGGGATGGACACGGGGATTGATACAGGGATGGACATAAGGACAGAAGGATGGGCATGGGGACACAGGGATGGGCACAGGGACACGGGGATGGACACAGGAATGGACACGGGGGTTGACACAGGGATGGACACAGGGATGGACACAGGGATGGACACGGGGGTTGAAACAGGGATGGACACAGGGATGGACACAAGGACACGGGGATGGGCATGGGGACACGGGGATGGATACAGGGACATGGGGATGGACACAGGGAAATGGGGGTGGACACAGGGACGGATACAGGGACACGGGGATGGACACAGGGCTGAAGAGAGGGATGGACACAGGGACGGGCATGGGGAGACGGGGATGGACACCGGGACGGATACAGGGACATGGGGATGGGTACGAGGACACTGGGATGGACACAGGGATACGGGGATGGCCACGGGGACACAGGGATGGACACACGGCCATAGATGCCAGGATACAGGGATGGACACAGGGATGGACACAGGGGCAGGCCCTGCGATGGGCAGACAGGCAGCACGAGTGACCCACACATACCCCGCCCCCCGTGCACCCCCCCATGTACCCAGGTCACCCTGGCAGGGACAGGGCTGGTGGCTTTTGGGGTGTCCCCCCCCTGCACCCCCTTATGAGTCCCAATGAGGCTCTAAACTGCAGGACAAAGGGGGGGGGTCCCGAGTGGGGTGGCACTGATTTGGTCCAGGAGGGGACATGGGGCCAGCCCCATGCTTGGGGATGCACATAGGGATGGGGGGGGGGCATGGGGACACCCTAAAAAAGAGAGGATGGGGGGGGCATCACACACAGAAAGAAGGGGGGGTCTGCAGGGTACCCCCCCTCCCGGGTGTCCTGCATGGGGCTGTGCCCCATAGGCACCATGCATCCTATATCCCATAATATTTGGGTCGGGTGGGGGCCCCCCCCACTGCTGCAGGAGCCATAAGTGCGTGTCCCATCACTTATTCATGCCGGGATCCGGGAGGAAGGAGCCCTTAAGTAGGTCAGGCAGGGATGTGGGAAGTGATGGGGGCTGGTCCAGGGTGCCCCCCTCCTCGCATCAAGCATGGAATGGGAAGTGGGGACCCCCCCCCCCAGCACCCATCAGGATGGGTCCAGGTAAAGGTGCTGCTGCGGACCCCCCCCAAACCCCTTATGGTCGTATCCATGTCCCTGATCCCATGGGATGCAGCCAATGCTCATCATGGATGCATGAAGCATCACTGAAGGGATGCACCACATCACTGGAGACCCCCCCCGATCCTAGGGGATCCCAAATCCCAGCGTTTAACCCCGCTTGATCCGGGGTCTTTCCCATAGGGATGCTCCATGCGGATCCCCTGCTCCATCCATCCCGAGCCCTCCTGGCATTGAGACCGTGCAATGGAGCCGGAGGAGGGGGGATGCTCAGTGGGACCGTGCCCATCCTTCCCATGGGATGTGCCCGGTGATCCCAGTCCCCCCCGCAGGCCCGGACGTGCCAAAGGAACAGTTAATCCCAGGCCTCATCCACCAACACCCCCGGGCTATAAATAGCCCCGTTCCCGGAGATCCTTTCCCTTTTTAGTCGGGATCGCGGCCGGCTCCGCTTTGGGCTCCCCCCGGCTCCGGGGCAGGGAGCGGGGATGCCCCCGGGGTGTCCCCATTGGAGGTGAGCGCCGCGGGGTTCCCCGGGGGTGGGATTGGGGATGGGTTCCAGTGGGAATTGCAGAGCTGCTCCGGGTCCCTGGGGTATTCCAGAGCCTGGGATGCGGGGATGGAAGGGGCCGAGCTGGGGGGGAGCTCAGGAAGCGCCCTCATCATCTTCATCTTCCTCTTCCTCGGCCTTTTCCTCCTTGTCCTGCTCCTCATCTTCCTCATCCTCCTGCTCCTCCTCCTCGTCCTCCTTTGCTTCCCCCTTCTCCTCTTTGTCCTCTTCCTCCTCCATATCCTTCTATTCTTCATCCTCCTTTTCCTTGTCCCCCTCATCCTCCTCTTTCCCCTCTTTCTTCTCCTTCTCCTTCTCCTCTTCCTCTCTTCTTCATCCTCCTTTTCCTTGTCCCCCTTATCTTCCTCTTCCTCTCTTTCTTTCCGCTCTTCCTCCTCCTTCTTCTCCTCATCCTTCTCCTTCTCTTCATCTCTTCTTCATCCTCCTCTTCCTTGTCCTCCTTATCCTCCTCTTTCTTTCCCCTTTCTCCCCCTTCTCCTCCTCTTCCTCTCTTCTTCATCCTCCTCTTCCTTATCCTCCTCATCCTCCTCTTCCTCTCTTTCCGCTCTTCCTCCTCCTTCCCCTTCTCTTCCTCTCTTCTTCATCCTCCTCTTCCTTGTCCCCCTCATCCTCTTCCTCTCTTTCTTTCCCATCTTTCTCCTCTTTCCCCTCCTTCTGCTCTTCCTCTCTTCTTCATCCTCCTTTTCCTCATCCTCCTCATCCTCTCTTTCTTTCCCCTCTTTCTCCTCCTTCTCCTCTTCCTCCTTCCCCTCTTCATCCTCCTCCTCCTTATCCTCATCCTCCTCTTCCTCTCTTCCTTTCCCCTCCTTCTTCTCCTTCTCCTCTTCCTCTCTCCTTCATCCTCCTCATCCTCTTTCTTTCCCCTCTTTCCCCTCCTTCTCCTCTTCCTCCTCCCCCTCTTCATCCCTTCCCCTCACCCTCCTCTTCCTCCTCCTCCTCCTCCTCCTCTCCAAGCCCCCCCCCAAGCCTCCGAAGCCCCCATTGGATCCTTTCAGCCCCCATAGGGTGCAGGACCCAGTGGCACCATGGGGTGGCTCTGTCACCTTCCCCCCCCCAGCCCCACGTCACCCCCCCCATGGCGGATGTGGGCCCCATTTGAGGTTTGCCGTTGACTTCTCCCCATTTCCTCCTCCAAGCACACGAGCTCCCTCGGCCCCACTGACACCGGGGCTGCCATGGGGCAGCTCAAGGCCCCTCGCCCCACATAGGGCACCCCTCGGCACACCCCACACCCCCCCACCGGTGAGCTCCAGAGGGGTTTGGGGCTGGTTTGGCCCCATAGGGACAGGGATGAAGGGGATGGAGCTGGGGGGGGTGGGAATGGCAGGGCCATGGGGGTGATGGGGAGAGGTGATTCCTGCATCCGGAGCCGATGGGAAAGGCTTTTGTGGGAGCAAAGGGATGGGGTTGGGATGCTCCAGGATACAGAGCCCCAGCTTGGAGCCCCTGTCCGTGATCCGGGGGGATCCCATTGGATCTGGGAGCTGTTGGTGCTCCACAGGGTGCTCACAGCATCTCCCAGGGCTGTGGGTCCTGGGATGCAGGGGACAAAGCTGGACCGGGATGCTGCCGCTGCAAGGGATGAATCAGGCTGGGATGGTCCCACTCAAGTGATGGCTGGATCGGGGTGATCCTGCTCCAGCAATGCTCATCCATAGGGATGCATCTGGAGCATGGGAATGGATCCAGAAACCCATCCCTGTGCTTATGGGGTCTGCCTGGGCTGTGGGGTCCCTGTCCCCAGCCAGGAGCTGTGCTGAGGGGGCAGAGGATGAGGGATGGGGAGGCCTCATCCATGGAGCCGAGGAGGAGCTGGATGCTGGGGGTTGGGAAAGCTTCAGGAACTCCCTGGGGATCTGGTGCTCTGCTGTGTTTTGGGGATGTAGGATCGGGATGGGACAGGATGATATGGGATGGGGATGGGATGGGGATGGGGATAGAATGTGGGGATGGGGATGGGGATGGGATGGGATGGGATGATGGGATGGGGATGGGGATGGGATGGGGATGGGATGGGGATGGGGATGGGGATGGGGATGGGGATGGGGATGGGATGGGGATGGGATGGGATGGGGATGGGATGGGGATGGGATGGGATGGGGATGGGGATGGGATGGGGATGACGCTGGAGATGCGGATGGGGATGAGATGGGGATTGGGATGGGATGGGGATGGGGATGGGATGGGGATGGGGATGGGGATGGGGATGGGGATGGGGACAGGGATGGGGATGGGGATTGGGATGGGATGGGGATGTGGATGGGGATGGTGACGGGGATGGGGATGGGGATGGGATGAGGATGGGATGGGGATGGGGATGGGGATGGATGGATGGGGATGGAGGATGGGGATGGGGATGGGGATGGTGGGATGGGGGAATAGGAATCCCCTCCCCAGTGTGGAAGGTCCAACCCCCCCCCCGGTGCCGCCTTTCCTTATCTCAGCCCTGGCAGCTCTTCTGCCCACTCCGGCAGCTCCATCCCCATCCTCCTGCCCCCCCCATCACATCCCATTGGCACCCAGAGCCCCCCATGGATCCCCCCATGGATCCCCCCATTCCCTATCCCATAGGGACACCTCCGGCCATGGAGGCCCCATCCGTTCTCAGCCCCTCACCGTGGGAGCGGCGCCGCGCCTGGGCCCAGCAGAGCCGGAGCTGGAGGAATTCAGTGCTGGAGCATGAGGGGGCCTCTGCCCCATGGGACACCCCCGACCTGCAGCCGCCCCACATGGACCACGTCCCCCTTGGAGGTCAATGGGGATGCCCTTGGGATGGGGGTCCCCGAGGGCTGGGGTCCCCTCATGGGTGTTTCTGTGCATTCCCAACAGCAGGAAGCTCATGCGGGAAGATCGAGATGTGGCTGCGGGAGTGCGGGTGAGCAGCGGCGTTCCCATAGGGAATGGTGTCAGCGTGTACAGGGGGTGATGCTCACGCTTGGTTCTTCATGGAGGGCATGATCCCAAGCAGGCAGAGGGGTGCTGGTGGGATGGGGCCATGGAGGAGACCATGGAAGCATGGAATGGTTTGGGATGGAAGGGAGCTTAAAGCTCCATAGGCAGGGATGGCTTCCGGTAGAGCATTGAACCATTGAACCCATTCCAGTGTCCCAGCACCCTCACAGGGAAGAGCTTCTGCCCAAGCGCTCATCCCAGTCTCCCATTCCCCTTGGTCCATCCCTGCATCCCTTTTTCCTATTGGATCTCCTTGTCCTGTCCCTGCATCCGTCGCCCAAAGCCCCTTTTCCTATTGGATCTCCTTGACCTGTCCCTGCATCCCTTGCCCAGCGCCCCTTTTCCTATTGGATCTCCTTGTCCTGTCCCTGCATCCCTTGCCCAAAGCCCCTTTTCCTATTGGATCTCCTTGTCCTGTCCCTGCATCCCTTGCCCAAAGCCCCTTTTCCTATTGGATCTCCTTGTCCTGTCCCTGCATCCCTTGCCCAAAGCCCCTTTTCCTATTGGATCTCCTTGTCCTGTCCCTGCATCCCTTGCCCAAAGCCCCTTTTCCTATTGGATCTCCTTGTCCTGTCCCTGCATCCCTTGCCCAAAGCCCCTTTTCCTATTGGATCTCCTTGTCCTGTCCCTGCATCCCTTGCCCAAAGCCCCTTTTCCTATTGGATCTCCTTGTCCTGTCCCTGCATCCCTTGCCCAAAGCCCCTTTTCCTATTGGATCTCCTTGTCCTGTCCCTGCATCCCTTGCCCAAAGCCCCTTTTCCTATTGGATCTCCTTGTCCTGTCCCTGCATCCCTTGCCCAAAGCCCCTTTTCCTATTGGATCTCCTTGTCCTGTCCCTGCATCCCTTGCCCAAAGCCCCTTTTCCTATTGGATCCCCTCTGAGCATCCCACCAAGCCCAAACACCATCTCCTCACTCCTCATCCCCTGCATCCCATTCCCCATCACCCATCCTGCTGCTCCCAGCTCTCCCATCCCACCTCCATCCCCTCGGGACAGGGTGATGGGACCCAGGTTCTGCTCTCCTGCAGGTCATCCATTGAGGTCCCACCAGAAGAACCGGGCTTGCCGGGTCCCCAGGGTGCGTTTCCTTGGTCCCCATGGGTCTCCTGGGGTACCATTGGTCCCTCTGTGTCCCCAAAGCCCTTGGGTGCAGGGGAATGGACTTCGAGGACCATGGGACCCATCCCCGTGGCCCCGCATCTCATCCCACCCCATTGCAGGGTATGGAAGCACTGGGACCAGCTTCGAGGATGACCTGACCCTGGGAGCTGAAGGTACCAACACCCATGGGGTGTCGTTGTCCCCCCCATTGCCACCAGCAGCAGCTTCCCCTGCAGGAGATGGGGCTTGGATGCCCCTGAGCTCCGTGTCCATGGGGTGGGATGCGCGTGGCCCCACACACCCCATCTCGCTCCTCTCTGCCCCCTTTTCCAGCTCTCCTGCTTCCAGGGAGCAGCAAGGCCATGAGCAGGTGAGGTTTGGGGTGCTGGGTTGAGGCTGGTGGGGATTTGGGGACCACCATCCCCATGCACCCATTGGCATCATCCCCATCCCTCATCCTCATCCCCATCCCTCCTCCCCATCCCCATCACAATCCCCATCCCCATCCCCAACCCCATCCCTCATTCTCATCCCCATCTCTCATCCTCACCCCCTTTCCCATCCCCATCCCCATCCCATCCCACCCATCCCATCATCCCATCCCATCCCTCCATCCCATCCCACCACCCATCCCACCCATCCCATCCCATCCATCCCACCCCATCCCCATCCCCATCCCCATCCCCATCCCCATCCCCATCCCCATCCCCATCCCCATCCCCATCCCCATCCCATCCCCATCCCCATCCCATCCCCATCCCCATCCCCATCCCCATCCCCCACCCATCCCTGTCTCCATCCCCATCCCCATCCCCATCCCATCCCAACCCCATCCCCATCCCATCCCCATCCCATCCCCACCCCCCCTCCCCACCCCATCCCATCCCATCCCCCCCATCCCCATCCCACCCCATCCCCCCATCCCTCCCATCCCCACCCACCCCATCCCATCCCATCCCCATCCCATCCCCATCCCAACCCCATCCCCATCCCATCCCCATCCCCATCTCCATCCCCATCCCCATCCCATCCCCATCCCATCCCCATCCCATCCCCATCCCATCCCCATCCCATCCCCATCCCCATCCTCCTCCCACCACAGGACCAAACCGCTCAGCCTGGGCCACAGCGTGGCCTCCAGCCTCACCACCAAGACCAGCTCCAGGTAGGACCTTGGGTGCTGGTGGTGGTGGGGGGGTGTCCTCAAGGGGTATTTGGGGCCACCCCTTCGCGATGCTCACCCCTATGGGGCTGCCCCCCATCCCCGCAGCATCTCCGAGGTGCTGGAGCGCTGGGAGGCGGATGCTGAGGACATCCTCTACAACCTGGGCTTCGTGCCCAGCGAGCCGGGTACCGCATCCCGGGTCCCCGTCCGGTTCCTCACGGCTCCTTCCCGTGCCAACGGCATCAGCTTCCAGCTCTTCCTCAAGGCCCAAGTGCGGCGCATGGAGATGGAGGATCCCTGCTTGACGCTGGCCAGTGAGCGGCGCCCGGCCCCGATCCCATGGGATTCACCCCATTGGGAACGCGGCTCTGGTTTCCCATCATTCCCATCTCCCTTTGTCCTTTCCCAGGTCGTTTCCAGCAGGTCCAGGCTCTGGCCACCACAGCCAATGCCTTCTTCTGCCTCTATTCCTATGTGTCCCGGAGCCCGGTGCAGGGCATCTCCTCCTCCTGCTGCTCCAGGGCTCATCCCGACATTCCCAACATCCACATCCCAACATCCCAACCCCGAGCCCTGTCCCCCGTGCAGCGCCTGAAGAAGGCCGTGGCCACCATGTGCCTCTATGCATCCCCAACGGGGTCCATCCCCATCCAACCCAGTGCCATGGGGATGGGGATGGAGCAATCCCATTGTGATCCCGATGATGCACTGGGAGGATGGAGAAGGGACATGGATGCGGTCGCTGGGTGCCCCCATCCTGCTGCTGTATGGGGACACCCGGAGCAGCCCTGTCCCCATGGCTGGGGGTTATTGGGCATCCCCATGGTGGTGGCACATGGGGACAGGGATGCTGGGTGTGATCCAGCATGGGAGGAGCATGGAGCGGGTACCGCAGCGCCGCATCCCCATGGCAACAAAGTGGGGGTCCCCCCCCAGCACCAATGGGGCAAGGGGGACTCCGGCTTCGGCTCTGGCTCCTATGGGACCGCTCTGGGGTGGAAAGCGGGGTCCCATGGGTGCCACATGGGTGCTACCTTGCACCCAGACCCACCAAGGGCTGGTGGCCACTGGGCTTGGAGCAGGGGCCAGCACTGGGGGGGGCAGAGGGACACGGGGATGCTCCCATCACCCCAACGACCCCCCATGGACTCCTTTGAGATGGAGGAGGTGAGGAGAGGTACCAGGGTGATGGGGGGGTACCAGGGTGATGGGGGGGGGTTACCAGGGTATGGGGGGGTACCAGGGTGATGGGGAGGTACCAGGGTGATGGGGGGTAGCAGGGTGATGGGGAGGCATCGGGGTGATGGGGGAGGGTACCAGGGTGATGGGGAGGTACCAGGGTGATGGGGGGGTACCAGGGTGATGGGGGGGTACCAGGGTGATGGAGGGATACCAGGGTGATGGGGGGGGATACCAGGGTGATGGGGGGGGGGGGGTACCAGGGTGATGGGGGGATGCCCTGCACACGTGTGCAGAGGGATGCAGTGATTTACACCCGTGTGCTGCTCCTCACCCATCCTGCTGCAGGTGCTGAGTGCCAGTGAGGAAGAGGAGGAGGAGGAGGAGGATGATGATGATGATTATGATGGTGATGATGATGATGGTGATGATGATGATGATGATGGTGATGATGATGGTGATGATGATGATGGTGATGATGATGATGGTGATGATGATGGTGATGCCCACAAGGAGCCCATCCAGTCCCTCCATCCTTCCGCTGCCATCCACAGAAGTAAGTTATGGGGGTTTCCCATACGTGTCCCCATACAAGTCCCCATACGTGTCCCCATACGTGTCCCCATACGTGTCTCCATACGTGTCCCACATGTCCCCATACGTGTCCCCATACGTGTCCCCATACATGCCCCACGTGTCCCCATACGTGTTCCCATACGTGTTCCCATACGTGTCCCCATACGTGTCCCCATACGTGTCCCCATACACGTCCCCATGTGCCCCACATGTGTCCCATGCCTCATGCCCAGGTTTCCTGCCCCACACCAGCAGCGGCACCGGGGAGGAGCTGGTGCCAGGGCTCAGCTCCCAGCCCAAGGCCTGAGGCCACCGCAGAGGGACCCAGGGGGGTCCCGGGGCCACCGCTGGGTGCTGGGAGCCACTGGGAGCCTGGCACAGGGACCACGCACGGACTGGGGGTGCACTGGGGGGTCTGGGTACATGTGTGTGTGTGTGTGTGTGAGTACACGTGTGGGTACACCTGTGTGGATGCACATGTGTGTGCACGTGTGTGGATGCACATATATGGGAGTGTGTACACGTATGGTACATGTGTGTGGATGCACGTGTGTGTATATGTACATGTGTGTGGATGCACGTGTGTGTGTATGTACATGTGTGCACATGTGTGTGTGTATATGTACATGTGTGTGAAGGCACGTGTGTGTGTATGTACATGTGTGCACATGTGTGTGTGTATATGTACATGTGTGTGAATGCACGTGTGTGTGTATGTACATGTGTGCACATGTGTGTGTGTATATGTACATGTGTGTGGATGCACGTGTGTGTGTATGTACATGTGTGCACATGTGTGTGTGTATGTACATGTGTGTGGATGCACGTGTTTGTGTATATGTACATGTGTGCACATGTGTGTGTATATGTACATGTGTGCACATGTGTGTGTGTATATGTACATGTGTGTGGATGCACGTGTGTGTGTTTGGCACCAAAATCCTTTTGACTCAGGACTTTTGCCAGGGCTGGGTCAGGGCAAGGGAATGTCCCCATCCCCATGGACTTGTCCCCATCCCCATCCCCATGGACTTGTCCCCATCCCCATGGATGTGTCCCCATCGCCATCCCCATGGACGTGTCCCCATCCCCATCCCCATGGACGTGTCCCCATCCCCATGGACGTGTCCCCATCCCCATCCCCATGGACGTGTCCCCATCCCCATGGACGTGTCCCCATCCCCATCCCCATGGATGTGTCCTCATCCCCAACCCCATGGACTTGATGCCATCCCCATTGACGTGTCCCCACCCCCATACCCACTGATGTGTCCCTATCCCCATAGATGTGTCCCCATCCCCATGGACATGTCCTCACACCCAGCCCTGGCTCTTGGGGACACCACTTGCACTTTGGTCACCCGTGTGACACTAGGAATGGGATCCGTTGGCTCAAATAAAGCTCCCAGAGGAATACGGCTGCCTCCGTCCCTGGATGGGGGCACCCAGCCCTATGGACCCCATGGGGGCACCCAGCCCTATGGACCCCGTGGGGGCACCCAGCCCTATGGACCCCGTGGGGACACTCAGCCCTATGGACCCCGTGGGGACACTCAGCCCTATGGACCCCATGGGGGCACCCAGCCCTATGGACCCCGTGGGGGCACCCAGCCCTATGGACCCCGTGGGACACTAGCCCTATGGACCCCAGGGCCCAGCCCTATGGACCCCTGGGCACCCCCTATGGACCCCGTGGGCACTCCCCTATGGACCCCATGGGGGCACCCAGCCCTATGGACCCCATGGGGGCACCCAGCCCTATGGACCCCGTGGGGGCACCCAGCCCTATGGACCCCGTGGGGACACTCAGCCCTATGGACCCCGTGGGGACACTCAGCCCTATGGACCCCATGGGGGCACCCAGCCCTATGGACCCCATGGGGGCACTCAGCCCTATGGACCCCGTGGGGACACTCAGCCCTATGGACCCCATGGGGGCACCCAGCCCTATGGACCCCATGGGGGCACCCAGCCCTATGGACCCCATGGGGGCACCCAGCGCTATGGACCCCATGGGGGCACTCAGCCCTATGGACCCCATGGCCCATCCCAGCTCAAGGGCTCATGGATTCGTCTTGGGATTCCTTCATCTTCTCCATCTCCAGGCCCCTCCTGCGCCTCCCTCTTGTTTCCTTATGGGGCATCTCGTGACTTCCTGGTCCTTCCCCTTCCTGTTCTGTATCTCATGGGCTCCGTGCTCCTCACCCGCTCCATGGGATGTGGGCAGCAGAAGGAAACCACACGGAGATGATGCTGGGGCCATTCCTTAACCCCTCCTGTGCTGATGCTGCCATCGGTGTGGGCCCCATCCCCATGGACATCACCCCCCATTGGACCACATCAAGGTCCTGACCCCCTAAACCCATCCAGGGATGGGGACAAGAGCCCCATAACCTCAGCAAGGAGCCAGCATCACCATGGGCCCTCATCCCCTCTTGGTACCCTGGTCCAGGAGCCTCTGCTCTGATGGCCCCAGGGCATCGAGCTCCTGGAAGAGGAAGCTCCTGATGGATAAACCAGCCCCAGCACTTCCCTATGGAGAGCAGCCAACATGGGATTATCCTGGATTAGCCCCACGGCCCCTACGGCTCCCACAGCCCAGCAATGGGTCCTGAATAGAGGGGGATATTCCCAACGTGCCAGGGATGCTCTGTGCTGGGTCCTGCTGCCCAGGGATGAGCTTCATCCACATCCCTGGTGCTCTATAGGGGACCCCCAAGCCTGGATGCTCCTGCTCCTATGGAGCCCCAGAAACAGACATTGGGCACTGGGTGCATCCCAGATGGGGATTCCAAAAGCCTTTGGCTCCATCCTTGGAGCAAGCCTGGAGCTCAGGGTGACCCATCCCAATTGCGACGCCTGAGACCATCCCCATCCCAACTGGGAATAGACTGGGATAGGCTCAAAACCTTGGTCAACGGGGACCAAAGAGCTGGCGACACAGGGATGCACTGGGACATCTTCACCCAGCTCCACTGCTGATCCCAGAGAGCAAGGGTTTCATCCCAGTGCATGGAAACTGAAGCCCTCGGTGCTCCTGAGCCTGGTTTCGATGTGGCCATGGATGAATGCCATGGGATGGAGGCACCCAAGGGCGCAGCACCAGGAGGAGGTGCTCCCACACCGGGCTTTGGGTGCTCTCTCCCCAGAGCACTTGGAGCATCCCACATCCTGCATCCAGGTGCTGCAATCCTGCCCCGGGAGCTTCCCCTCACCCCCTTCCCCACTGCAATGAATGGGATGCTCTGAGGAACAGGCTCCGAGCAGGATACGAGGCACAAATCCTCCCTCGGGGCCTGGCCATGGCAACCCCATGGATCCATTCCCTGTCCTCAAGCCAAGAGGCAGCCGAGGCACCGGGGGGTGATTTATGGGTGCAGCGGCCAACGGGGAGCTGTGGGCTCTTGCTGGGGTGCTCCTGACCCCCCTCCTGCAGGATTCCCATTGGAATCAAGGGCTCAGGCCCTGCAGAGCGTTGGAAGTGGGGGATGAGCAGTGCAGAGCGGTGCCAGCGGAGCCGGGTTGGATGCAGCCCTGGGAGGGATGAGGTGGCTGAGGTGTGGGAGCAGCTTCCCACGGGAGGCAGGAGCTGCCTGGGAGCCTGGGAATGGGCCAGGAGCTGCAGACGTGGTTCTGCAGCGGGGAACGGGCTGGGTCTGGAGTCCTGTGCACTGCCAGCAGCGCCCCATCCACATCCAGCAGCGCCCCATTCACTCCTAATAGCACCCCATTCACTCCTAATAGCGCCCCATTCACTCCTAATAGCACCCCATCCACATCCAGCAGCGCCCCATTCACTCCTAATAGCACCCCATTCACTCCTAATAGCACCCCATTCACTCCTAATAGCACCCCATCCACATCCAGCAGCGCCCCATTCACTCCTAATAGCACCCCATCCACATCCAGCAGCGCCCCATTCACTCCTAATAGCGCCCCATTCACTCCTAATAGCACCCCATTCACTCCTCATAGCACCCCATTCACTCCTAATAGCACCCCATTCACTCCTCATAGCACCCCATCCACATCCAGCAGCGCCCCATTCACTCCTAATAGCACCCCATCCACTCCTAATAGCACCCCATTCACTCCTAATAGCACCCCATTCACTCCTAATAGCACCCCATCCACATCCAGCAGCGCCCCATCCACTCCTAATAGCGCCCCATTCACCCTAATAGCACCCCATCCACATCCAGCAGCGCCCCATTCACTCCTAATAGCACCCCATCCACATCCAGCAGCGCCCCATTCACTCCTAATAGCACCCCATTCACTCCTAATAGCACCCCATCCACATCCAGCAGCGCCCCATTCACTCCTAATAGCACCCCATCCACATCCAGCAGCGCCCCATTCACTCCTAATAGCACCCCATCCACATCCAGCAGCGCCCCATTCACTCCTAATAGCACCCCATTCACTCCTAATAGCACCCCATCCACATCCAGCAGCGCCCCATTCACTCCTAAGAGCACCCCATTCACTCCTAATAGCACCCCATCCACATCCAGCAGCGCCCCATTCACTCCTAATAGCACCCCATCCACATCCAGCAGCACCCCATTCACTCCTAATAGCACCCCATCCACATCCAGCAGCGCCCCATCCACATCCAGCAGCACCCCATTCACTCCTAATAGCACCCCATTCACTCCTAATAGCACCCCATCCACATCCAGCAGCACCCCATTCACTCCTAATAACACCCCATCCACATCCAGCATCACCCCATCCACATCCAGCAGCGCCCCATCCATGGAAGGGATGGGATGGGATAGGATGGATGTGATGTGATGGGATGGGATGCGATGGGATGGGACAGATTGGATGGGATAGGATGGGGTGGGATGAGATGGGATGAGATAGAGAGGACATGCAGCAGGTAAGGATTTGCTTTATTGATGCCTTTGGAGCGTTGCTGGAGCAGAAGAGCCATGGGATGAACTGGGAATAAACCAGACCCAGCAGCATGGAACTGGTGCAGAGCAAGGAGGCGTTGGATGAGGAGGGGACACAGCCTGATCCCCATGGAGCACCTGGGAGAGACCCAAAGGGAAGAGGAGCCGGTCCTGGGGCTCCAATGCCACCAAAGACAGCTCCAGATGAGCCAATGAGACACAGGGGGATGTGGAGGTCCCTGGTACGGGATCCGGGGAGGGTTGGTGGGATGGGAGTTGGGTTTATGGGATGTAAAGGTGGTTTAGTGGGATGTGAGGTGGGTTTATGGGATGTAAAGGTGGTTTGGTGGGATGGAAGGTGGGTTTATGGGATCTAAAGGTGGTTTGGTGGGATGGAAGGTGG